TGGTTAGCAGTTGCTGTGTCTACATGTCAGGAGGGATAATCACACCAGACCAGCAAAATACTTCAGGATCTGCTTACCTTTGAGCATACAGGGAGCCTAATTGACTTAACTGAGATTACATACAAGCTTAAAGTTAGTCATATGCTTTGCTGGATTTGGGCATTAATCCTGTGGCCTGAAATCTATGGAAACTTTGAAGTTAGCTTGAAGGCCTCTGAAATGAACTTCCTTGGAAGGCCACTTCTGCAGCAAGGATTTTTTTTTTTTTTTTTTTTTTTTTTTTCTAAAATAAAACTTCCTGCTGCAATTCCTGACAGGCTGGATCTCCTGATGGAGGAATGACTGACCTTCAATTTTAACTGGCCCTGGCCAACTTGATCCTGAGCATTTCCCACCTTGTTCAGAGTATCCACCAGCTGATCCAGGTAGCTTCTTGAATTTGCTCAGCATCAAACTTCAGGATTATCTTAATCAATGAAAGTATTGTGATTGGTTCTCTATCAATGATGCTTATTCAGAAGAGGAAATGTTGTGATTTAATACCAGTTTATAGCTTGAAAGAGGGGTAGATCATTGTCAGTATAAGGTTTGTAATTTTATTGCTGAAGCATTATTTCTAATGGATAGTGAAAAAGTAAGGTAGGGAAACAGAAATAAAATCTTTTTATTTTTAGACACCATTGTGAAATTTAAATTAATTATAATTATTATTTTTTAAGACTAAAAGCAGTTTCAGGTATTCCACCTGCTTGTGTCCATTGCCAATGTTTGTTGCATAATCATCTCATCTTCCTATTTGTAAAGAAGAAACAAAACAGCAGAACTATTTCTTCAGTGTTACATATTTCTGAGGATTTTGTTGCATAACTTTTTTTATTTTTTATTGAATATTTCATGTTGTCATCTTATGTTACATTGCTGGCTCAGAAAACATATCTTGCTTTTCCCTTTGGGGGGAAAAAAAAAAGAAAGAAAATGTGAATGAAACAATTACACCTAAATTTTTGTAGTTGTGGAAGTTGTGATGGCATTATTCCTAGAAGGAACATAAACATAAAGTTTGTTATTAGTTCAGCATTGCTTCTACATCCCTTAGTATAGTACTGAGTTTTTGCTGATATGCCTACAGTGAACCAGTATTAAATAGAAGTAATGAGATTTTGGGGATCCATACGAATATAAGAGAATTGGGCCATGAGATACCTAAAACCATAGCTCATCTAAGTGATTGCACTTCATTGCTTATGAGGTGGTGATCATGGCAGACTCGCATATAAATAATGCTTAATTTGCTTTGGCAATATGTAGGATGTTGCTCCAAATTATGAATGTTTAATATGGTTTTGAGAAACGACTCTAAAGTTTTGGCTCTTCATTCTTTACCAGGATGCTGAAATAGTGCAGCTGCTTGCAAAATTCCACCTTATCTCACTTTGCTAATTCAATTGTCACTACTTTCAGGATCTCTGCTCCTTATTTTCCAGAAGTTTTCCCATAAGGAGATCCAGAAATCTACATGGCTTGAAAACCAAACAAATTTTGATGCATTTCTGCTCTTTAGTTAGGAGCAGATCTGTGACAACATAAATGGAGCAGGGAACAAACTTCCTGCTATAGAAATGCTGTTTCTTAGGTCCACACCTTTCAGGAAATCACACACCGTTGTTGGATGTCTCAAGGAAAACCTACCTAGAGTGTGTTCATTTTAGAGACTCTTTTAAAACAAAATCTCGTTCCTTCCTTTTCCCTTTCCTTCTTTTTCCTTTTCCTTCCCTTTCCTGGCATGTGCAACTCTCCAGTTTTCCCAGTTCTGGAGAGTTCTGCAGACAGTTTACTCTTAATTGGAAAGGTGTAATTACAGCAATTACTTGGAGGACACTTGAAGAGCTAGATAGGCTGTTTTTATCACCTCAAAAGAGAATGAAAGGCCCATGTTTTTCCTCTTTGGTTGATGGTATAGCAAACCCAGTGTACAAGAAATTGTGGGTAGCTTTTCAATTGATACTACATTGAAACTGATACTGAATAAGCTCCAAAATTTGAAGTATATAGCACTGTCATGTGAGATTTTGTGAAGAATTAAAAAATATAGACCAGTGTGTTAAGAAGTCGATAGTTATGCTTAAAGAGTCCCCCATTTTTCTTTCTAGTGGACTGACATGCAGCGAGTATCTTGGTGGCAGTGTTCTGCTTTGTCCGCTACCTAGCCTCTTGCTGGAGTTCCCATTTATTTGAGTAGTTCCTTTTTGCCTTCCACCTGTTGGTATACATTCTTCATTCTGCAAATTAAGAATTTCTGCTTACTTTAGAGCAATCCTTACTGTGGTAGGCTGGAAAAGCATTGAGATGGATGCAAGCCAATAAGACTGAAGCAGTTCTTTCATAGTTGTAGGTTTAATTCAATCAATATAAAATGTTCTGTTTTTAGATAAATAATATTAAAACCAAAGAGAAACCCAAAACATACCCTACATCATTTATACATTGGTCAATGAGACAGAGTAACTAGCTTTATCTCCACACATTCTTGCCACTTCTTTGCATGTCTCGTGGGAGGCTCCCTGGGTGCCAGTTGAGCACGTCTGGATGGTTGCAGTTCCCATTCACTGCAATTGCCACACTGGAAATGCTGCTGCCATCTGTTGGTGACCCATCTGACCCCTGAGAAATTTAAGTTGCATTTGAGTCATCTGTGCCAACAGCAGTGCAAAGCCAGCATGGAGATGGGGGGAAAAAATAATTTAAGTTGCTGTTGTCTCTCTGAAGCCAGTAGTATTTTATTTATTTATTTATTTATTTATTTATTTATTTATTTATTCCGAGGAAAGGTATGTCACTACATAAATAGTAAAGTGTCCAGCCTTCAGCCCTTGTGCCACTCTGCTGCTTTCTGACATGCTCCTGAGTATGATATTATTAAGGCATATAGACATGCAAGAGCACGACCCTTAATGTGATGCTGGCTTTTTACAGAGGCTGTGGCTCTGGTCTAATACCAGCACACAGAGCAGGGTTTAACTGGATGGGTACAGCAGACTGGCTGCAAACTGTGCTGTGGCTCCAACCAGGGCAAAGCTGCTGGATCTGTGGGGTAAGGGGGAGTGCTGGGGGTCTCGAGTGCTCCTTGCCTTTGCCTGCTTGTCGGGCAGGGACAGAGGGTGCATAAGCTGCTGCAGTGCTGGCAACTAATGCAGTGTATATCTGCTGTTTGGGGTGAGGGAGCAGAACAGCTCACCATAAAGCTGAATGAGGCCGTGTGATCACTGGTGCCTGCCCGTGTAAATGTTTAAAAGACCTCTAAGTTACAGCACTGCTCCAGGCAGCAAACAGGCAACAATATGGAAACATTAGTGACCATTGCTCTCACCAGCAGCTGGTGGAAGGAAAGATTTGTCCTTCTGTTTTACCACAGAAAGCTTCTCCTCTTAGCTAGCTTGCTCATTTATAACCGGGGTTGGAAAGTGCAAACCAAAATGAAACCTGCATTAAAAGAATTTTGTGGGCTGTACAAATCATAAGGGTAACTACTTCACAAAATACTGTCAACTGAGGCATATATTTAAAAGGTTAGATAAAATATCTCCTAGCCATTTTTTTCCAGTTCTTTTCTTTTTATAGTCCACTGCAAAACAACAATAGATAAAAAGGCTGTATATAATGCATGTATATTTTGTTGTGTGTTTTTTTTTTTTTTTTTTTTTTTTTTTTTTTACCTTTCCCAAAGGAGTCTCTGTGCTTCCCACACTAATTGTAGGTTTTTCTGAAAATGCAGCATGAATCATTTATAAATAAAGAGACTTTAAAATCCCTAAAAGACTCCCTGAGGTATTCAGTATTTCAGCATAAAATAACTGTTAAATGGAGTTATTCTGAATTAGCTTTTACTGGAAAGTGGTGAAAATAAAGTTTTCTTTTCACTGTGAATGTGCAATAATTCTTTTACACAGCTACCCAGGGTAATTGACAAGCGATTTTCATAATTCAGGTTTTAGCAAAGAAATCATCTGAAGTGGCTAACATTAAATGAACGGAGCTGCTATTAAAACATAGCTTTCAAGAAAAACTGCATGAGATGTCAGAACCAGGGGCTCTGTGTTGAGACCTTAAAACATAATTTGGGCTATAAAATAAAAACACAGACATTCAAGCTCCACAACAAATTTATACATACACCCCCCACACGCATGCACATACTTAAAAGTAATAAAGAAGGATTTTTTCATCTTTCTCTTGAAATCCGATGATTATTTTAGCATACAGATAACCCTAGAAAGACAAGGCACTCAGAAGAGGTAACCTATTTGTGTGACTCCTTTGGACTTCATAACCTTGAGTGTCCATACCCACTGTACAATCAGAGGTCACATTTGATCTGTGTGTGTAAAATTATGCAGAGGAAGCTTCCTCAACACTTTGTGGTTGATTGACAAATTGGTCTGTCACTCAAATGCTCCTTCAACTTATCGTGAACAGTAAAGAAAATTATCTGTTCTGTGCATATGTGAGAAAAAGCCTGTTCATTAACCTCTAGACTGCTGAAGCTGTGGAACATATAATGCTTCAAGGAATAAGTACTATATATGAAAAGTATGCAAAAGATACAGGTATATACATATTTATGTACATATATTTGTGTGTAACATATATAGAAATGTACATCCATAGGAGACCAGCCTGTATGATACATATATATTTCTGTATATATTACACTAGCTTGTACAGCAAACTTTAGGTACCCTTGTGTAGGAGCTTTGTATGTGTGCAACAGCTACTGATAGGTAAACACCTCTAAGAAGCTTCCTCCAAACATTTGGTGCAGCTTGCTTCGTAATCTGAGATGCCTCTGACTGTTACCCCTCAGCTGTTCTGCCTATGGTGTATCTCTCAGGTGCTAGGTTATTTATTTAGCTAAATATTGATGTATCACAAGTGCAACAATGTCAGAACAGCTGACAATAAAGGTAGGGCCCTAATTCACTTCAAATGTTGAGCAGAGGCAGCGTGGATAGGTTTTGTGGAGCTGCACCTGTTTATGTCAGCAGCAAATTTAGTTTTACGTGCCATGGGATGCTCACCTGGCATCCAGTTGCTTCAGCTTGGAGAAATTTTTTGCAAATCCTGTATATGTATGTGTCTTTTTTGCACCCCTTGCTAACTGCCAGCCTCTGTACTGTTATTTATCTATCTGATCTGAGTGAGAAGAATTAATCTCTGTAGGCATTTCTCTCTAAATGCTCTACATGTAGCTGAACCTTAACTATGAGATCTACATCAAAATCTGAAGCTACAAGGTGATGACACTCATGTGTGTTGTTTGTTGATCATATTTTTTATTTTTTTTTCTCCCTTAAGCCCTGCATACTGGTACTAGAGAGGTGTGCTGAAGCAAGCTCTCCAATTTCCAATGCGTGGAGGCTCTTGCAGCCCCAACTTTTCAGCTTCTGATCCAGCCCTGGCAATCAGGTATCATGTGAGACCAGACCTAGAGAGTATCTGATCCCTTGAAAGGATCTGAGAACCCCTGGTTTTATGTAATATGTTTCTTCAAATCTAGATTGTTAAGTGGCATAGGCTTGGGGGCGGGGGTAGAGGCAGAAGGCAATTGGTCTCAACGTAATTTTTTATTCCAATATAAAACTTTTTGCTTTTACTATTTAAAATTTTTCTTTGCCAGTGGCTGACTAGCTTGAAGTCTTTGAAACACTGAGCTTTCTATAAAATCCAAATAATTCTCTGTAAATCAAAGTACTTGGCATGCTTGCTGCAAAGCCTGAAGGTTGTTTTTTTTTTTTTTTTTTTTTTTTTAAGGTAATCTCTAGAAAGTAGTTTGTACTCATGTTTTCACAGTGATTAAATATGCAAAGTAATTTTCATGATTATCACCCCGTTCTGAACCAAATCAGATGCGGCTATGCTTCTCTTTGTACAAAGCCAGTTATTGGATCAGATTCCAAAACAAATCCCCTGAATTTGGCGGATCATCATTTTAAAAGGGGGCTTGTTAAGGTAATGATTAAATTAAACCACCCCTTTAAGAATATTTAGATCTGGTCCGCCAAGCGGAACGGTCTAATGGTTTTTAAATTAGAAGCTGCGAATGCTAGTGAATTTCTTTTGTGGGTCAAGTGGGTATTAACAAATGCTAAGACTGTTCTCTCTTTTGTCATCACCTTGAAATCTGCAAAGAAAAGCGAAGAGTGAGAAAGACACAAGGAGAGAAGCAGTGTTAGTATTTAACATCAGTGCTTTTTAACCAAGGGCAGCTTCAGATTTACAAGGTTGGATAGGAGAAGGTATGAGATGCTGCTGCTAGTAATCTCTTTATACCTCACTCTTGAGAGAGAGACTGAAGCTCAAATCTTCAAGGAAGTGGAGAACCCAAGTGCATTTGATTCTGGCAGTCTTAAGCTATTGCAGAGGTGTAATAGCCTGCTAACCACAGAAGCATGGATAACAACCCATACCTGTGGCTTCCAGATTTCTGAACCCTGTCAATTTTAAATATGCTTTTAGCCTCGGATGCTGCTGGGAGTTTGTGGCTGGGGAGAGACAGTTTTGCTTTTGTGGAGAGGATGGCTGGGTTCATTCCAACGCGAAGATTTCAGTTTCTCTTTTGGATACCCTAGGCAAACTGTATTTGTCACTAGTATTTTTCATCCTACAGTCCTAGTTGATACTGGAGTTCTGTGAATATTGGATTTATGGGGCATAACAATCTCCCTGGTGGGAGGAAATCCACATTAAAATATAAATCTGTCAGGTCAGGTCAAGTCACAGATAACAAAATACCAACGCTGTTCCTCTGTTTTTAGTCCCTGTTCCTTTTTAGTCATACATAAGTTTCTGAAAATGGCACCTCTTGGGCCAAGTTTTTTCTGTACTAAGATGGTTTAAAAACAAACAAACAAAAAGTGTTGCAGAGGGAGTCAGAGGTAAAATCTGAGCTACTTTGATGAAAGTGGGGAGAGAAATAGCTTTCTGCTTATTGAAACAAAAATCCTTGTGGCCATTTTGTTTATGAATAGCCTTCTAAGCAAAGTGGTTAAGCGTGGAAAGCTGGCTCAGGCTACAGAAATAACCATAACTGGCAAAGTGCATTTCTGCAGGTGAAAATGTCAGTTTTCAGTTGACTGAACCATGACCCTTTAGAAATTGCATGCTTTGGACATGCGGTTCTGTACAGTTTGTGTAGGGCTTTTTGCTAAGCTTGTAAAGCGTGCACTTAAGGAGAAGCATGCTCTGTGTGTGTGTGTGTGCACATGGAAGGAGGGAGAAAGGCTAGGCTAACTTCGCTGTGAAATGAATATTTTCTTACCTGACAAATAGGTTAGGGAAGATGGCTTTCTGTGCTGAGCCCAGATTTTATTCATTGCAAAAAATTAAGTAAGGTGATCTGTCAGAGATAGGTTGGCATCACGTAGGATTTACAGAAACAGCATCACTCTGATGCTCCTAACATACTGTCTTCATTCTGGTGCCTATTCTCATCTTACCAACCCTCAAAATCTTCAGACGCTGCTAAGAACTTTTGAATTATGAAAACAAAACAAAACATTAGGGGAATATTACTGTTTAACAATTGAGAAAAATAATAAAAAAATAAGTATAAAAATTCAGGCAAAATAAAGAACCTGAGCTCTGTTCCTTGTACTTAGATATGGTGATACAACATCTTCTATTCACCACGCTGGTTTTAGATTTTATTACATTTTTGTGGAGAATTCTGTATAACCTTCCATACCCTGTGCAATAATAATACTATTACAAAGCAACAAAGCAAACCAAAAGTTTGATGTGTGTGGCACTGAAGGCGGTGATCAAAGACTAAGAAACAATTATAACATGTTCTGCTGGTTAATTCTCCTTGTGTGGAAAAGTTATCATCCATCACGGCCGGATCTCTCTCTCTCTCTCTCTCAACAAACAAACAAACAAACAAAAAGTAGTAATTTACAAATAAAAATCTCTGGAAATAATTTACATTACACAAAACTGAAAAACTAAAGATAGAACTACATGAACTATAGCTCCATATGTTAAACTCGTCTCTCCTTGTTACCCTTTATAATAAAGGGTAAGCAACCTACAAGACTGATCAGATTCTGGGTTGCATATGAGATTGTATAATACACATTAAGCATTTTGTCCATGTCATTTTGGTCAAGAAATCATGACACCACGAAATATTAGATGGAAATTCTTGTTGTTAATCATGTTGAATTCCCCATACTTTTTTTGGAAGTGAAAAAGTTTTTTCCCTCTCACTATTTTTTTTTAATTTTATTTTATTATTATTATTACTTTTTTTTTGTTATTCTCTCCTCAAAATTGTACTTGGGAAGAATAGTCTCAATAACGATGGAAGAAAGGTTGTAATAACAGCATAGTGACCAGGTTATAACAAAATTTCTCCACAAGCAAGCCCAATTCATAATTAATTAATAAAAATCACAGCAGATTTTTTGTTCTTTCCTTGAAAGCACAGCATGTTGGGGCTTTTCTGATCTTTTGGACCATTCCAATATTCCCAACTATATTTTTTCCTAAAATGAGAGTACTATCAAAATATTTTCCCAAAGTGTTTGGTGAGTAAAACCCTGAAGCAGTTCTGCTTTGTACAAGACCATCATGGGCTTAGTTAACTGGAGAGAGAATCTGCAGCAAAGTTAATTTTCAGATAACTTCTTCCAAAGTCTGTGCCCACGTTGATCCCCTCTCCTTTTCAACTTGTGGTTTATTGTAGAGACTATCTGTGAGCAATCACCAAGCCTGTATCCTCAATCCTGCCTTCACCAAAGATGTGATTGAATCCTGGATTTTGGCTGGGGTTGACAGTTTAAAATTAACTCATCAGCAGGTCCCCATTTTCTAACGGCAAAGAAGACAGTGCATTTCTTTACCACGTCTTGAAATTCCCTGGGAAAAGGGCCGTATGTTCTGTCAGGTGGAACTGAGTATTTTCTACCCTGTAACTTCAGAGGTACATGCAAGTGTTATCTCTGCAGAAGTAAATTGAGAGTGAATAAAGCATACTGGTTTAAAATATCCTCATCTTCTCCCCATTGTTCTGTCCTTAAACTTGAGAAGCACCCTCGCTAGAAGTGGGTACTGTAGGGTGAAGTTCTGCCTCAAAATGCCTTCAGAGCCTGTAGTTTTGAATATGCCATGTGCAAAACTACCTAAAGGGCAACACTTGCTCCCAAAATTTTACTCTTGAAATCTGTGGCCACAACTGTTTGCAGTCTTACATCAGTAGCATAAGATGGAAACTAGGTTGGTAGCCTGTTTTAAATTCATCTGCTTTATATCTTTAACAGGTTTTCATAGGAAATTGAAAATTGCATGATAGCACAAGGAAATCAAATAGATATAAACCCTGTGAAAAGTTTTTTTGTTTTTGTTTTTTTTTTTTTTTTTGTAATTCTGTATTTCGAAGGTTTGTGGTTTGAAGGTGAATATTTTTAGGCCACCTATATCTCAACTGGCATCTAACTTTCTCTGCTGAGTTGTAAGGTCAAAACCCTGCTTTTGGGTTATCTGAAGGGGGGATCTTGACTGTACAGTGTGCCCTTGATCCGTGCACAAAACAGCCATTGACGTCAGTATGTTTCATGTGCAGATTAGAGCTGTGTAAGCTCTTCACAACAAAATCTGAAGTTATGCAAAAACCTCTAGTAGTTTGGAGTTTCAATGTGGAAATAAAACCAGAAGAGGTTTTATATAGAATTTGCAATACAAACTTTGCAAAGAAAAACCTAAATTGTTTCTCTATAGTGGCAAGATTTTTTTTTAATGCTCAGTGCCATGCTTGCGTCATCTGGTATCATGGAAAGCATGTGGATTAAATACCACTTGGTCAATCAGAAGCCATGCCTATGATTTTGTACTTCACCAGTAAATCTTTAGATGTGCAATAGATATAATCTGAATGTTTTGGATCCAAATTTTGAACCCCAGAAAAGTGAGGGAGTAGAAGAAAAAGGAAGGACAGAGACTGAACGATTAGTTTGAGTCTTGGATTGCAAGCATCTTCCACCTCCAACATAACTAGCTGGAGTCAATGCGCGTGTGTGCATCCATCCCCTGGTTGGCCCCCTACACAGAGAAGAACCTGGGGAATAGAAAGCATATGATTATAAATTGCAAATTAGTCTAAGAACTGAAACCAGTAGGAGTTGCAGTGCTGAGTCAAAGACTTAAAGCTAAAGGTACAGATATGTTGTGACAGATGAGAAAAGGAGCTTTCCTCCTAAATCTTCACAGATTAGGGGCTCTATGTGTGGAACATTCTTAGTGACTATTGGGATGTGTATTTTACATAAAGTGACAGATTCCTGGTATCTATCGGTGGATTCTGTGAGCAAGAGAGGCAAAGGCGAGACTGTGGACTCCTATCAAAAGAGCTGTTCTTCACCATCACTGAAATAACATAATCTTAATTAAAGATTGTAGAGGCATCTTTA